TGATGATGATGATGATGATGATGATGATGATGATGATGATGATGATGTCACTAATATACTATGTAACATATATATATATTCAATATCTAATAGTATGAGTTAAAGTACATTTAATTGCCGCGTGGTTCATACATGTTCATACTGTACGCTAGTACTTAATGATCTAAACTTTCTGCCAGCCACCAGGCCGAAGACCCGCAATGTCAATCCTCAATTTCTAGGAATGCATTTGTGGGCAGTTGAGCTGTGTGTGTCTGGGGCTCGGCGGAGAACAACTCCATGACCTGGAGCGTGAGCACCCTGGAGACAGTGGCCGAAATCACTTTCCCATTGAATTTTTAAATGACAACAGTGCAGCCTCATGTTGTTCACCCATTGGGTTCCAAACGACTGCCCGTCGGAACTGCCCGTCGCTGTCCCCTGATCCATGCCCCGCTCCCCTCGCTGAGCGGTCGGCTCTTGGGAGGGCTCATAGATGCCCTAGCAGGTGGCGCAGTCAAGGTCCCTCCGTTGAGAAGCGATGGCACGGTGAAACCCTGACAACCACCGGTGCTGGTCATGGCTGACCTGGCTGCAGGGGAACCAATCGCAATGCCAGGGACCGATGATCTCCGATCGCTGGGCTGCGATCATCGGCGGTAGCTTTTGGTCCCCTTCCTATCCTTCGGTAGAAAATGCTCCGCGGTCTTTGGCCGGAAAAGAGCCCGGTGTGAGGACCGATACCTCGTCGCTCGTGTGTGTCCTTTGAAATGGGCGGACATCTGCCATCCATCAGTTTGGTCCACTCGTCATTGAGTCATGCTGCTTTTGTGAAGCTTGATGATCTGTTGCCCGAATCGAGTCAGGTAATCAGACCCTGCAACAGGGCGTTTGATTCTGGGCGTGCAAAAATGATCAAAACTGATTCACATCAGAATCTCCCTTCCGCTTGGGCGAAATCCAACTCACCAAAGGCGTCCTTCTCGGCGATCCCGCCTCCATGATGGCTCGAGTGCCCTCATCATAGTTCTTGTCCTGCCAGGACAGGCTATTTTGCAGGGACAATTCTGCAGGCCTCGACTCGACAGGGTGAGTTTTTTTTCGAGACGTTTGAAAACAGCTCGACCGGTGGCGACCTGTCAGGAGGGTTCCTGGGTCACCTGAGAAGGCGGAGCTTGAGTTGATGATGGTTGATCGTTGATGTGTCTTGATAGTTCACGGCCACAGATCTGGCCATTATCAGCGGGCAGAACACGTGAAATATTCGTACCAAGGAAAGACACTTCCCTGTTCATGCCTATTGAAATACAAAAACTAGTCGGCTAACATAGGAAGTCCAAACCTTTTTTCAGCCCCTCCTCATTCCCCGACCATTTGTATATCTTACAAGATCTTACCAGCGAAGATTGACTCCACAGTTCTTGACAGGGCAGGCCTTGGAGCTTCAAGTTCCATATTTGGAGTCGCTGCTTGGTACTACACATCCGACACATCCAGTCTCAAAATGCATCAGAAACTTTTTGCACTCCAGGCCTGCATTCTTTCTCGGTCCATACCCATCCCGCAACCTTCTCAGATGCACAGCACGCTCCTCCAAGTAGTAGCCATACATGAAGCCGGTCCTCTGCATGGCATTCTCCAGGAGAACGCCATTCCTTGCCCGGCCGAGCGAACCGAGACCAGGTGGACCGGTCGGACACATCAACAAGGAGGACGCGGAGGACACGGAGCACTCAGAGAAGTATAGGTGCCACACCATGCAACAACTGCTGCTTAGCATGTTGCCCTTCCAAAGAGTCCAGTCTCGATTCCGCATCTCCGGTCTCTTTTGCCCTTCAGCCCGAAACAGCTGGTACCACAGCATCAGCCAGGTCGCCAGTATCCAATGAAATTTTCCATCTCCGGAACATTGATGATGGACAGGGTATCGACGTGTCTGTACCTCGCACGTGCGAAGTGGCGGCCGGCAAGCTGACGGGAATGATGGGCCGTGAGTCAGGCTGTTTAATCAAGTTCTTTTCCAAATCAACTTACCAACTTCCTTAAAAGCATGGATAGATAGATGGATAGATAGATAGATAGTTGGATACAGTAAATAATTAGATCTATAATATACATATGGCATTTTGTCTATGTTGTTATATATATATAGTAGTTGCAATACAATTGATAAACCCACCTAGACCAACTTCCCCCGCTGCTCTACCCTCTAAGAGACAGCATCTGCACCAGTTCCCACGTCATGACTCGAGAGGAATTCCCAAAACTTTTAGAAGTTGGGCATCAATGTTTCACTTTCACTCCAAACGGGTCGGTCATTGAAGTGACAAGTTGGGCATCTCATTTTTCAGTGAATGGCCAGGGCACCCACATCCGGGTCTCCGGTCGTAGAAGGGTCTCCGGTCTCCGGTCAAGCTGCGACGCATCTTCAACAAACACGTAGAGAAACCCTCCATCTGCAGCCTTTGGATCGAGATTGGCGGATGTCCTTCTAACCTTTGGATGGGTCCTTCGTCACCTTTGGATCAACCATTTGATTCTGCAGCCTTGGGAAATAGAGAATCATTGAGATTGGGTCTCCGTCTGACCGTTCCACTTCTGAGCCGGATTGTGATTCTGACCATGTCATACCAATCATACCATATCATGGGCGAGACGGGCAGGTGCGGCAAACATGAACATGAACACGTCCACCCTCCCCTGACGGTCGCAGCACATTCTCAGCCAGACCTTTTCTTCTAGCACAAGGTCATTTCTGCAGCCCTCACGGCCTCTCTCACGGCCTCGCTGGACTGTTTCGTTTGGTGTCGCCGCCCAGTCACGAGGGAGTCACAGCGACGCGGGTGACTGGGGATTCGGACGATCTGACTGACCGGTGAAGCAGTGAACCAGCGGGGCGGTCCACAATCCAGCCCCAACTTGGAACTAAAACCGACCGAGAGTCAAGTCTACTCATTGCTGCTCAAAAAAAATGGTGACGCCTTGGATTGTGCGAACAGTACCTATATAGCTTTTCCATTGTCATTTAGGTTGAGTCATGGGCCCCCCCATGCGCCCCATTACATATAAGCAAATCCCTCTCCTTCCCTTCAGCCTGGTAGGCGCCATAGGCGGTCTGTTCGTCCAAGGCACTCGCGACCGAGGCAAAGAAGAGCCTCAGAAAGGGATGCGGAAGAAAGAAACCCCACGAAGCCCATTTGGAAGATTTGGGTGGGGTGTTGGAACCCGGAGATATGGAAGCTCAAGGGCCTCAGGGGGTCGAGCCCACGTCAAAAAAGCTCCGACCACGGCGTCCCGACCACGGCGCTTCGTGGTGCTTTTCGAGCGCTCCAGAAGCCCGTTCTGGTCGATGCGAGACGAATCGGAAGGTGCTTAGAGGGTTGGGGGTCGGAAGGTGCCTTTCGATTGTCCCCCACATTGGAACCATTGTAACTACCACGATGGGAATCATATTAGTCTTTTCTAAATTACTTGCTTATTAATATTAAGCTGTATTCATTCAAAGTTAGGACGTCCCGTATCGTTTTACAATGTTTGGTAGAATGAGCACTGTATGTATCGTTTTGCATGTTTCGCATGGTGGAGTCTTGCCACCAACAATGAACGTCACGGATCGTAACAAACAAAACACAAACACGAGCGCACAAACAACAAAAGCACAGGAACCCCTATGCGCCATCATTCATGATCTGAGAGCATCCCCTGCAAACACTGGAAGTGTGAGCTCTGTGAAGTGAGGAAGGACAGAACGGAGGGCTGCTCCAGCAAGTTCAACATTGCTGGCTTCTGCCGCTCGTTTGCTGATCTGATCTCTTTTACTAGAAGACACAAGCCTGCCTGCCCCTTTGCAGACTTGCTCATGGGGCACTGTCTAAGGAACTTCCCTTTTGCACTCTCTCGTGTATCGTTGGGGAATCGTTTTGGGGTATCGTTTTATGACGTTGACTTTTGGTATGTTTTATGACATCAGGGTGGTAATTTACCAATGTTTCCCGCCCACATTGGAAGAATGTTACCGTGACCGTTTTTTCATATTAATGTTCCCATGAGTTTGGGTTTGTTGGTTTAAGCCATCCACTCTTATCAGTGGAGCTGAGCATCTTTGCCTCGCAGCTTAGCCTCGCGGTGTTCCAAACCCAAACCCTTTACCTGAGTTCTTCTCAGCTCCACTAGTGGATCCCTCGAAGATCTTCAATTTCGCCGTTTCTGACTCCTATCAGAGCACTTGCACATGTGTTTCAAGTTATAAGCCTTTTCAGGAGAAAGAACCATAAAACATCCTTGGAGTCTCTTTCTTGTGGCCTCCAATGCCGCTGGCCCTCTGGAACACCATCCACCTCCTGAGATGGTGGGCAGACCGGAGAAAAAAAAAACGGGAGTAGAGGACTTGGTCCATTCACCAAGACATCCAAGTCATGCAACCAATGACTTGATTGCAATGCAGAATATCTTTTCATCTGTTTTCTCTGCAATCATTGCTGTGCAGCAGGTGGCAAAAGCCTCTCTTCAGTTGGGAAAAGACTGTCAACTTTCCGGGTTTCAATCAATGGCGGCAAGTTTCCAGGAATTGATCTGGAAGCATCATGAACTCCAACAAATGCTGCTGGTGACCCATCCGGTGGCTTAGCGGCCCCACGCTCGGGTCAGCGCTCTCCCACACCGAACGCGTGGCGCAGTATGACCCGGAAGGACCAAGCCATTCGGCCTTCCGGCCTTCGCAACCAGCTGCACCCGCTCCGGTCGATTTGGGCAGCCGCATGGCCGTCAGAGATTCAGGAACGATGCCGAGATGTGCTTTGGTGCATCTCCCTTAAGAGCAAAATCACACTCTGGGAGTCCAAGACTGTTTTGAGGATGGGCTTCTGTGACCCGGAAAGGCATGTTCTTTACTTTGCTGGTGCCCAAAACCTCGTCATTTGACCTGTATATACAGAGTATTATAGGGTACCATCGACATCAATGACGAGATAGTTCCTCCCGGCCCCGAGAGTTCTCTCCGCCCTTTCCTCTCCGCCCCGTCTTGTTCGGCGCTGGCGATCCGCCGCCCCGTCTCGGCGTCCCCAACAGCTCCTCCAACTCGAACGCCTCCAGCAAAATCTCAGGGCCACAGACCTCGTCGACCCGGGGGCGTCGGGGCGTGGGCGTGAAACGGGCACGGGGGGCCAAACCGGTGGAAAAGAGCCTCTCATTTAGCTGAAGGTTTGTAGTCTGTGGGCCAGTTTCTGTTTTTTCGTTCGGCCATTCATGTCGAAGAAGTGGCGCAAGCGTGTTGAAAAATGGTGCCTGTTTGGGGGTTGACCCACAATCGGTTTGCTTCACCGATTTAATACAAGTGCAAGTACAGTAGAACGCTTGCTGCAAACTCTATTATTGATATATTCTTTACCCTAAGAATCCGGGCCCTCAAATAGATAGGGTTTTGAGGCCCCGGACCCCTGCCATGGAGGGTCCGACCCCTGCCATGGACAGCCCAAGGATTCTTAGGGTACTAAGAACCCCGCCCCTCATTTGGATCGTTACGCCTCTCAATATGAGGTGATTTATTCATCAACAGTCTACATTAAGCCCAAACTGTTCCAGCAGTGTCCCATCCCTGTCCCTCGTGCCCCTTTCCCTCTAGACTCTACACATATCTACATATCGCAGCATATCGCCTGGTAGATGATGTCCATGATCTTCGTCTCAGCCACCTGCAGGAGGCGATGCTTCGCTACGAACGGAGCAAGAAGTTACTACTAGTAACAAGAAGCTACTAGGAACAATGGGCATCGCTACTATAGGAGCAAGAAGCTACGCCGCACGAGAACACTTTCTCAGGTCTGGGTCACTCATCTGCATGACCCCGACCAGCAGTTCCATGTCGGGTCTGGGTCTTTTTGGCCTTGGAACGTCCCATGACCGTCGCGAGTGGATGGAAGGGGCACCCCGACTTATTGGTATCCCGACATGGAACATGGTATAGTAATTCACCATACCCGAGGTCAAAGGATCTCTTCGGCACAGCTGGGGTCAATCCCTTCAATTGGAACAACTGGGGACGCCGTAAAATCTCGATGAAGGGACAAACCCAGGGCGGCAGGGGCCTCGCCCACCACACGAAGGTCGTGGAAGAAGAGGCATTGACACCTTGGCCGCCGCGAGGGCCTCGCCCATCAGGCGAGACGCGCAGACGTCGGGACCCGGCCCAGCACAGGCAAACCCATGTGCAACCCCCCCCCGGTCAGGTATGAACCAAATGAGCAAGCGTATTGGCTTCATCAAACAAACATATCCATTCATATCCCGCACAATCCATCCCAGGTCTGCAAAATGGTTGGCAGCGAAGAAACATGGCTGGAACTTGAACCCTTGATAAACTGATCATGGATTGGATTTGTTGTCAAATCGGTACACTCTTCAAACCCGTGCAGCTTCGCATGTCTCCGTTCCAAAACACACAAACCTTCGCACCCGGAACTCATCGTCACTTCACCTGCCCCTTCTTCCACCTGAAGAGCTTCTCCCCAAGCCCTCCAACCCCCTCCAGGTCCCGCAGTGCCTCCAGGCCCAGCCGTCCCACATCCTTCGGCCGCCCACGTCCGAAAGGGCAACCCCACATGGCCAAGGGTGGCCGAAGTGCTAGTTGGCGCCTGGGCCGAGGAAACCCGACCCGGGCACCCGGAAACCCGGTCGAGTGCGCCCGAGCACCTGGAGCACGAAAGAACCGTGTGACCTAGAAAGTACTCTAGGAGACCTGTGAAGGAGAATCTTGCTCCTTCACGAAGAAAACGAGTCTAAGGCGTGTTTTGCAAGTCACGAAGATCATGAACATGACGAACATCATACATGTTCCAATCTTGTGATTCCAATCCTCCGAACCAAAAGCTCCCACCGCGCAAACGTCCGCCCGCGGGCTGGAACCGCGGGCCGGCGTGCCTGTCACGGAAATTGAGCTGCAGCATCGCAAGGACCTCCATTTCGATGCTGGATTCGGTCGGACCACGTGGGTGAGAAAAGCGCTCCAAACATGCGAAAGCGTCCGAAATGCGAAAGCCGTTTCTTTTGGGACCCTGATCATGGCCATGAACGTGGTCTACTGACCCTAGCTGTCTTCTGCAACGCTGTCGACCTTTTTGGGGTGGAATCATGCAACTGGAGGGGCTCATTGGGATGGGAAACGGGAAAACCAGGCAAGGGGATTTGGACGAAAAAACCTGGCAATCAGACCTTAGCAGCCCTGGACCAACCAAAACTCTGCTGTGGAACTGTCTGTCGTTGCTCTGGAGTAGCATGGGGAGAAGTTTGTGGATAAAGTTCTCTGACCTCGCACATCTCCTTGACTCGCATTGCCTCTCCTTCTGTGGGATACATCAAGCCAATACAACTCCTTTCTTGTCGCTGTTTTTGCTTGAATGGCCCTCTCTCTCGCGCCTCAAGATCAAACTCCATCCCCCTTTCCTGGGCGGAAACTGCAACGATGGACCCTCGGCCAGTCCGGGTGTGTGAACGTCCTTCGCGACGAGGGACCCGAACTTCCGTCCGTCACATTTCGGAGACCCCGAGAGCATCGATGTGAAGAACGGAGTCCGTTCGATACATCGAGAGTCGAGGGAGTTTTTGTTTCCAGCACCCAGTTTGGGTGGTTTATAGACACCCGACCCATGTACTTGACCATCCAATAACCAGCATTTGGGTGCTGGTATGTTTCGATACTATCATGTAACAGCATCTATGTCCAACCCACTGTCCAACCCCAGTAGAGTTTGGTGGAGCATCTTCCTCTTTCTTCTACATCCCTGTTGGAAAGGCTTCGGTTTTAACAAAGCCGAGCTGGGGGACGAGCTGGGAGACCGGTGTTTCGTTGCAAGTGGAGATACTCCAAGTGAGAGTATCACGATATCCTCATGGCTGTGGGGGTCCACATCCAAATGAACAAAATACAGCTTGCAAGTGAAAGGTGGCACCGTATTAACCATTTTCACGGTAGGTCTCAAACAACCCCCCATGTCAGTTTTTGCGCTTAAAGAAGGGCTCGAAGAGGTTTTCACGCACGCCTTGTTGCCAAAACGAGCGAACCCACGGATTTCACTCATTCTTTTGAAGACTCAGCGATAGAGCCCCTGCAGGTTCACAAAGGGAAAAAAAAAGTCTAAAGTATTTTAAAGTGCTATGGTCACTCGCAAATGTGCTGCTGAGCTGTGCACTGAAACCTCCACGGCGGAGTCTTCGCACCAGCCTCACAGCACGTGAGATCTAAAAAGGCCTGGTATATGGTTTGCCATTCCTACTGAGTGAGGAAGTACACAGCCCCTTCTTTCTTTGCGCAGGGATGTTTCCATAAGTGGCTCACTGTCCGCCGCGGTTCCAACAAGCAAGCCTTACGAGGTCAACCAGTGGATATCTGCGGATGCAGAAATTGAGGAGCATATATATATATATATAGGTGTTGATAAGCTTCAGTTAAGAGCCTCGAGGCATAGTAATGTGGGTGTGCGTCAAAACCCCGGGTCTCAGGTGAACATCGCGCACCTTCCTGTTCCATAGGGTATGGAACGGATCCCTTGTTCCATAAGGTATGGAACAGGTATGGAACGGGGGTATGGAACAAATTGTACCAAAAAACCTGACGTGTCATCTCAGTCAAGTTTCTCACGGTAAATGTATTTCAGCAAGCAAAGCGCACGTGTTGATTGAACCTCGAACAATTGTAAACTAGGAATCCATAGGTATGGAACGATGGGTATGGAACGGCGAACAAACATGCTGTTCCAGAGGTATGGAATTCCGGGTATGGAACGAGATGTTCAAGAGTACATGTTCCATACCAAAACGTTTTGACTCATGGCCATGTTGCAATGCATCCATGCCGCGGGATCATGCACTCTATGGTTAACAGCAATCTGACTTAAGTCGGAGGAAAGCAAGACATTAGAACTTCAGTTTCTTCAAAGTTACATCTTAAGAGTTCTGTACGTTACCCTTTCAGGGCGTGATTAACCTCAAACATTCCAGTATAATCCAATCCAGGACTGCTTTAGAACAATGGAATACCACCACTAGACTCAGGTGTTTGGAACGGAACAACAACGGGTTTCAGACAACAGCCCTGTCGCAGCGCCGAGTGCCAATGGCACGGTGCCGTTGGCAGTCCGAGTCCGAAAAAGGTGCCCGCCATTGCGGTGCCGACTCGGATGGCCACCGACGGTGGCGAGTCTAAAGACATCTGGACGTGATGGCCGAAACGTCTTTCTCGGAGTTTTGAAAAGAAGCATCGGAGAGTCAACAATCAGAAGCATCGGTTTTCTCAGAAGCATCAGAGCTTTTCTGTGGTCAACACGGCTTGCTTGAACCGTCTGTGTAAGAACCCAGCCATCGCAAGTAATTCAGCCAAGGCAGTCAAGGTGAGCAGGTTCTTTTCGAAAGACTGAGGGTCACCAGTAGCGAGTATCCCAAATAAGGTCCCATTAGCACAAACAAATGTTTGAAACTCCCCGTCACTTTTGACGGCGATGCTTAGTTTCCCTCGCATGTTTGCTGCATGTGTGTAACTTTGCTCCGCAACAAGCTCACTTTCTCAGTATGAGCTTAACCTGTTTGGGGGGGACGCTGTTGACGGGGACGGTTCTGCAGCTCATGAACCCTTGGTTCGCTAGGCACGATCAGGTTGCGCTCTGTCGGCGCAGGTTTTTACTGAATCTTAGCTGCGCAGCCATCTGTCCCAAGACTTGTGTCTACAACCGTAGGGACTCACAAGCCTCATGATAGGATCCCCCAGTCGACCATGGTCGATAGGTGCGTGGAAGAATGCTACCAAAAAAGTGAAAATGACTTGGTAATGCCTGCAGCTTGTGACTTAGTAAAAAAGAACTTACAGTAAATGAACTTTGGAGCTCTGGACTGAAACAGGTTTCTGGTTGGTGATTTCAACTCACTTGAACACATTATTTTGGTCGGTTCAAGCATCCCAAGTAAAGGCGAAAAACAAAACGTTTTAACCACAACCGAGGTTTACTCACCAGTTGCGTGATGTACAACCCTTCTGGATCATACGAACCAATCCGAAAACCAGGTTCCAGGTTGCATGCGTGCTGTTTATTCTTTTTTCGGAGTCCCCATCATATTCTATCTACTCCAGGGATGCCTATATGTCAACGTACCATTTCCTACCCCCCTGTCCAAGCGTGCCACCAGGTGGCAAAGCCGGAGCCAGTCCTCCTTGGGCACCCTGATGGTCGCCTCCGTCGGGACAGGAGAGGATTCTGGGGCCATGTCCAACCAGAAGTCACATTGAGGGGATCTCCAGTCACTCCAGTCGCTCTAGTTTACACTGGCACAACCAGAAAGTGATCGCAAATAGATGGATTCGAGTGAAAATCCTCTGATGGAACTTGTGCACCATTCTTGGTGTGGGTGCAAATCAGGTGTGAAGCTCCCTCAATGGCCTAACTCGAATAAGGATGACCAAACGACAAAGATCAAGTTTGAGGGACATCCTTGTGTAGCCATGGCGGTAACAAATTGAGGAGGACTCTCAAGGATATGTTCAAGTGATCCCTGAATTGAAGGAATCAAGAAAAGGGAGAACCCTTCTACAATCTTATACTGTCCTTCATACAAACAAGGTGAAGGTAAAATTCAGGGGACGGCGTTTCCAATGTCTATCAGAAATATTGGGTGAGGGGGAGTCTGCCCTTGTTGAAACATGCCTACATCATAGAAGAGGGTGCTGCAAAGGAATCAAAAGGTCGCTGCACCTATCATCGGGCCTGGTCATTGGGCCTCTCTTCCGTGCAATGCACCCCGTCAGTGAGTTCTCTCTATCAAAAAAATACATGTAAAAAAGAAACAAGCAACATCCTGAGAGAGGCTAGACGTTTGTGCGGTTTTCTGTTCGATGAGTGCGTCCGAGGCACCGGAAAGCAAGGAGTGAAGTCGGGTCTTTGGACAAGCACCTGAGGCGCCGGCAGAAAAGAAAAAACTTGAGATTACAGTATCTCCGTCGAAGCCTGGAATGAATCTATGAATCACATGCTTCATGGATGGTCTTGTGAGGTCTTCCCACAAATCTCAGGCTTCTTTTCGTCCATTTCTTTCCCAAGTCCCTCCCACACAGCACAACCACTTCAATCTTCGCAGCACTGGCCTCCAAGCAACGCTGGCCTCAAGCTGGCCGGCGAACAGCGGTGTCATGCAAGATGAGCACATGGTGTCAAAACCATGAGCCGTGTCCAAGCCTGGTGGAAAACATTTGCAAAAAACTTGGTAATACCATGTACATAATACCTGAGTAGGATATAGGTGTTCACAACGCATGCAAAAACCAAAGGAATCATTAGGCAGCAGGCACCATCGGTTCAGACGCTTGTTGATTCACTGTGCCCAGTAGATCATGGAAGCACACTTTGCCAACTCCATTTAAATTTGACTGACTGAACCACACAGGACAAGTCAATTCATGTCAATTCGCTTCTCAACATGGAGTCAAGCCATGACGGGCATCCCAAAATTGAAAAACGAATCTTCCATGCAAGACGCTGATGCATTAATTCACTGGGATCATCAAGCATTCATTTGCAAACTACCGTTGTTGGGGTTTTCCTTGACACGCACCCAGCGTTTGGAAAATCTTCCCAACACTGCTGCACGCTGCTGAATGCCTTGCCTTGATCAGCTACCCATCGCAATTGCTCAGCCGGGATCTTTGCCATGCCCTGCAAAGGGTGAATGAGGGGACCCTGGACCATTGGGTCTTACACAAAGTACCGGTCATTGACATCGGCATGTTATGGAAAACAGCGGAACATGTTCCGCATCTCTACGGATCAGGATGGTCGCACTCCGGATCGCCACTTTCGCAGCCCCATCGTCTGTGGCGCCCACGTTCCAATACCCTACTTTCGGGAGCACCGGGTCATTCCACTCCAATACCCAACGGCCCAA